GGAGCGTGGCGGTGGCGGTGGCGGCAGTAAGGGTGCAAAGAAGGGGCTGCCTGTTGGGGCAGCGTGGGAGGTTGGGCTGGGGGGGCATTGTAGAAAAAAAAAACAAACCCTAAAACAAAAAATGAAACAAATGAATAGAATAAGACACAGACTCATAAATACAGAGAACAAATCAGTGGTTACCTGTGAGGAGAGGGGTGTGGGGAGGGGCAAGATAGGGCAAGGGGCTTAAGAGGCACACACTGCTAGGTATAAAATAAGTAAGATGCGGGGATGTAACGTACAGCACGGAGAATATGGCCGATGTCGTGTAACTTTGGAATATAATGAATAAAAATACCAAGTCACTATGTTGTACACCTGAACTATTCTTCAATATAAATACAGTGAATTTTTTCACTGCTGTATACTATTTCATGATATCAGTAGAATATTATTCATTTATCATTCATTGTTGACAGATGTTTGCATGTTTACGGTTTTTACCTACAGTGAGCAGTGCCCCCATAACCATTCTTTCCTGCAGTTAAATTGCACGCGCAGGAGTGTTTCTGGGTTGTGCACGTACCATTGGAATCAGCAGATCCCAGGTTATGCCCAAGTTCAACTTTACTAGGTGGTGCCACTTTTTTTTTTTTTTCCCCAAATTAGTTTGACCAGTTGATAGCTGCTTCTGCAGTGTGCGAACGTTTCCATTGCTCCTCGTGCTCACCAATATTTGCTGTTAACTTGAAATGCCTGCTGATATGGTCTGTGTGAAATGGCATGCCTTTGTGCTTCTAGTCTGCATTTCCCTGATACTGAGATTGAAACTATTTTAATATGTTTGGGAGCCATCTGGGCCGGTTCTTTGGTTAAAATTTTTTTGTTTCTTTTGCCCATCTTGAGTTATCTTTTCATATTGGTTTGTAAGTGTTGTTTTATATAATCTTGGTATTAAGTCTTTATGATTAGTATGCATTTCCTTGCTTATAGCTTGCCTATGTTGCTTTTGAATAACATTTTATACTTTTTAATATAGTTGAATGCCAACCTTAGGTTTTGCTTTGTGAGATTTTATTTTTTATTTTTTCAGCTTCATGGAATTATAATTGACAAGTAAAATTGTAATGTATTTTTAAAAATACAGATCCTTTAGTACTAATTAACTAAGTATTCTTACAGTCACTTAATTTAAAACAGGTCTTCCATAAATAGCTGCATTTATTTCTTTGTATTATATCTTAATACTCTGATTACTTTGTCTTCTTGACTCTCCATCCTGGGGTTACTTGAATGCTTTTTCATACTTTTGTTTTTGGCCTTTTTCTGGCAGCAGTTCAAAAGGGCATTGAATATTTCTCTGTCATTCTGCTGCACAAACTGCTCACGATCACTCCACTGGTGCATGTGAAATTTGAAGGTATTCTTGGTTACCTATCACTTGACCTAAACGCCCTGGTGAAATGAAAGGATACTGGCCCCACAGATGCCCATGCCCGGCTGAGCTCACTCTCTGAACTCTCCTCCCTCATGAATGGTTCTTGTTTTTGCAGTCTGATGAGTCAGAGGCGGTCTCATCTCGCCAGTCAGCATTAACAAGTCTGACACACCTCGATGGTTCACACAGCGCTTGCCTGGGCCTTGCGCTCTTTGCGTGCTCAGTGCATTTGCCCTGATTAATTGGATGGATGGATAAATGAAGGAAGGAAGGAAGAAACGGAACATACAGTATTCGACTTTTCTGTTAGAATATTGAAGGCATTCTGTGGGAGGAAAACCACTTTTTGTTTTGTTTTTTCAGATAAATGGCGTCGAAAGTGCTTCATTCTGATTTAAAAATCTCCTTTTGCATAAGAGCC